TCCTGCGTGCTCTGGGAGACGGGTTCCGAGAGGCGGTGGGAGGTTTAAAGGCCAGGGGTGCTTGGGAAATGGTGCTGTGGGGGCTGTGGTGAGTTTTATTCCTACGCAGATTGTTTAAAATAACTTATCTTTGATGTTGTTTTCGATTAACACACTTTTCTTTCTCCTTTTTCTTTTTTATCGCATCTTTCATCTTGTTACACAGAGACCTAAAGGACAAGGAAATAAAGGTGAGTTTGAAGTTTTTTTTGTTCTCAGTGTTGCCTTGATGCTACTTTTAAACTGTTTAAGATTTTTTTTGTGTTTGTTTTTTCCTTGAAACCACTTCTATAGAAAATATGAAAAAAAGCTTTTTAAATTATATTTCTGTTGAACAGATATTGTGAATGCAGTAGTATTTCTTTGGTTTTGCAGTTTTATCTGTTATGTAACTTCTGCCTCAAAGATTTCTACACTTCTGAACAATAAGTAGTTTCTTAATTGGGTATTTTGTTTTACATGTCTAGAATACATTGAAACATATAATTTACCTAGTATTCCTTGTCATATTAGTGAAAATCAGACAATCACTGATTTTGTGAAAGTCAATTGCAACAGGACAACACCTAAAGAACTCATAAATGAAAGGGAGTGTGTAGTCTTGTTACATAGTTCTATTTGTAATGTGACTCAATCTGGTATTTTAGAAAGGCCCGAAAAGGAAATAAATTGTGAGGTTTCTGCTGAAACTATGATACACTTTTTAGTAAGAGTACCATAAAACCTAAAGCACTAAAAAAATAAGTGTATTTTGTACTCCATATGAAACAATATGTAATCAGATGTTTCTGCTGAAACTATGATACACTTTTTAGTAAGAGTACCATAAAACCTAAAGCACTAAAAAATAAGTGTATTTTGTACTCCATATGAAACAGTATGTAATCAGCTCCATATGAAACAATATGTAATCAGCTGTCTGAACCTGACATTTTGATCATAAGACATTAGTGTAGAACTATAACTTTTCTTGGGGTATTTCCAGGGAACATTATAGCAAATTATACATTTATAACATATATAGTAGGGCTTGAAATTACACTAAATAGAATTATGCATCCTTTGTTTTTGTTTCATTAAGTCCTTAGAAAATGAGAACTATAATAGCGTTTTAGATGTAAGCTTAATATTTTTATTTGTGCTCTTTAAATTCTGTGGGTTTTTATTTCCTATTGCAAACTTGGTTAATTTGAAAGAACTTGGTTCTGTATATATAGATTAGTTAACACTTAAAGAATAACCAGGTAGATGGTACCGTGTTAAAAAACAGATTTGTTGTCTTAAGGATGTTTTAATTCAGTCTATAAACATTTAGAAAATTTGATTTTTAGAATTTCAATTTTATATTTAGAATTATTGTGTTAAAAACATAGACTTCAATTGATAGTTGCATTTTAAATGAATTTTTAAAAATTTGTAGATATTAAAGAAATGATTCGTTAATTTATTTTTTTGTTAGTCTGCCCAGTAGAAGGTTTATAGACTTGGAAATATATGAAATCTGTGGTCATTATTGCCTAGCGTAAATTATTTTATCCTAGATCTGTGGGGAGGTGGCACTTTGCAAGGCTATTTGAAATGCTAAGTGTTTTGTGTTACCTGCTTTAAGGTAAGTACACAAGTTCCATGAAGTACTTAATTTGTTTGATAAAACAAAATACATAAATCATTTGTATTGTAAGCTAGTATTGTAAGTTAGTAGTCTGTTACTGTAAGTTTGACTTATAACAAGATCATTTCACTTAGGTATGGCCTGTTGACATCTGTACTATAGATATGTTATCTATAATCTATATCATGTATTGATTACTGTTATTGTGATGTAAATTAACTACCTACTAACTATTTTCTGGTTATTTAAAAATTTTAATCTATCAGTGTCACTTCTGATTGTGTATTTAGACACACATTCAGGCTATTTGGATAGTTCTTTATTCTAGAAATTTTACTTTTCCTTTGTTCAGTTCATAATTTCATCTAAGGATAGGATGATGGACTGGGCTTTTTTTGGACTTCTTCATAGGTACTGACCTGAAAATTGAGCTTGAACATACTGCACTTTTTGTCAAAATTTCTCCTCTATAAAACAAAATCCTCTATAAAAAAATTGCTGTAACTACTGTAGTTTATAGTAGCTGTTGTATTTGCTGTATTTCTTTTTACCTTCTGAAGGAAGACTTTGTATGAAATCTATGCAGGAGGAGAAAAAAGTGCTATTGACCTAGAAATTTTGGTAATCACTTGAGTTTCTGTAAGTACATAGATACAGGTATACATTACTTGTGTTTTATGCCTCTGCTAGGAAAGTGATAAGGCTAAGACAGCACCACCAGTGAACTTGTACTGTGTATAGCTGAGAGAAACTTTTCAACATTAGCTGACTTTATATTCAAGCTAATGAAATTGTTTTATTATAGTTGTTTGCTTTTGTCAAGCAGAAAGTGTAGGTATTTCTTGAACTATAGCATCAATAGTCTAAGAATATGAGTAGTAATTTTGAGTTCAGAATTTAGCAGCTTATGAAAAATATATGTTCCTGAGAAGTTGGTATCATTTAAAATTTTGAAAGCATAATTATTTTAAATTGAAAATATAATTTCAGAGATGCTATATTTCCTTTCCTAATTGTCTTCAGTTGACATTGCTAACCTAATACAGTGCCTGGCTTTAATGCCTTTTATGTTCTAAGTGTTTTTCTGCATATCCTTAAGGACTTCATGTACTAAAGGAGCTAAAAGGAGCTATCAGTGTCTTTGCTAAGGCAAAAATGCTTAATTCTAGGTTTACTTGTTTATAAGTTTGAACTCTTTTTTTTTTTTTAACTAATAGAATGTCCCTGTGTGAAATGTCAGAACTCTATTATGCAAGGCAAGGGTAGTACCAAAAAGGATAGTTGAAATTTGAGGATAATTATTTACCTGTTGGTCCATAAATTTGAAAACTGACTTTATATTTTTACTAACAAATAGAATTTTTGCTTGCTAGAATAAAAGTGTGCTGTGCTACTTTTGCCAGTACTCCTGATGGAAGTGTCAGATGCCATCATAGGCCTTGCTCCCTCCTTTCTCCAGCCCCTTAAGTTTATGAATAAGCAAATATATGGAAAAGGATTTATCTTTTTTCTTCTCTTCCTTCCAACATTGTTTTATACAACTGCAATTTAAAGGAATTATGTTAAGTTTTAACATTTCAGGAAAGTAGTGGAAAAAGCCTTTTATTTTGGCAATATTATGTTGTATTCTTTCCCTGTCCTCCCTAGAAATAATTTCAAAGTACTTCACTATCATTTTAGCCTTCATTTTATTATTAATCTTCACAACATTCCTTTAAGGAGATAGAGGGTATATGGTATTGTCGCTGTTTTTGTAGGTGGGAAAACATGATGCACACATCTGTTGACTTTCCTAACTTGGTGTAGTCAGGACCAGAGCAAAGAATCACCTGGCTTCTAAGGCCCATGTTCTATCATTGATTTGACTCTGCTTCATAGAGCAGAGGAAACAGGAGAAGAATCATGTAAGTCATCTGTTCTTTTTTCCCCATGAAGAACTTTAACAGACTATGGAACTGACTTGGATTTCATTAGTATTTAATGGCATTCAGTCTCCAAGACATTACATTATCTTTAAATAATGTTTAAAAAAATAAGTCTTTACAACGCAGTTGAATCTTTTAAAGAATGTGAAACTCAAGGATTAGTTTGGAGTTTTAATTTAGCACAAATTGCTGGTCATAGGATGTGAAATATTTTTAACTGAACATTTTTTCCTGGATTGACTTATGCTTTGTATGTTGAAGAACTTCTAAGACATGCATGCATCATTAAAAATAACTAACATTGTATTAGTATATACAGGTACTGAGTTCTTGGTCTCAGCCTCTTAGAAGAGAACAAATAAATGAAGAGTAGTAGTAATAATTGCATACATTTTAAATAGGAACTTTTTGATTGTAGTAGCAGCATGAACTAGATTCCTAAGAATCTAATCTATAAAAGAAATAGGTATAATTTCAAAGTGATTAGCTGTTTTATCTTTTTTTTATCCTGCAATGCTAAGCATTGAACCCAGGCCTCATGCATGCTTTGCAAGTGCTCTACCACTGAGCTATAGAACACCCCAGCCCTGAGTAGCTGTTTCAACTTTTGGCTAATTTGTACTAGTGTAATTGCCCAATATTGAAGTTTTTGTTTCATTTTTTTCAAGAAGTAAAATTCCATGCATTGCTACCTTTGATAAAAGTAGGTAAAACTATAATCTCTTAGACTGAAATGATTAAACCTAGCCTTTAAAATGGTGGGGGATATAGCCTAAGGCACTTTCCTCTTTGTGGGGCACATTCTCAACTCCAGCTCTGATTCAGTCTTTATCAAATACAGTTAAACCACTATAGTGGAGTCAAGATCAAGTTGTCCTTTGTGTTGATCTTTTGATCTCTGAGAGGTAGTGTAGTATTGTAGGAAATCCACTTTGAAGGCTTCACAGAATAGCATCAGCTTTGATGGCTGCTGCTCATTAGATGGCAGAGAACTAAGGCATTTCACAAATCTTTGCTTCCAAGCCACTGTTAACTCAGCGTAACACTTTAGGAGATGTGAACATAAGGCAAAACTAGAGATAATGAAAATGTCCTTGATAGAAGAATGCATACCTTAAACTCATCATCCCAACAATAATTTGCAGTACTTTCTGCCATTGTAGAGTTGAGTATTAAATCTTTGAATATTGAGTTTTTATTCTAAAAGATTATCATTGCTTAGAAACTTTGAACTTTTTTGTCACACATTTCAGTATACACCATTTACAACTTTTAGCTTAGTAAGAATTGTTTTATGATGCTAATGTCATTTTTATTCATATTTGGATCTTGTAATATTTAGAATAATAGCCACGATTATTGAACACTGTCATTTAATACTCAGATGACGTGAAGTAGGTACTGTGAATAACCTTGAAAGAGTAGTTGTCAGAGGGTTAGGTTAAGCCATTACTGGAGATCACTTATTCTCTTGGTAGAGGACTTTGAATCCAAATTCAGGACTTTGTTTTGCATTCTTTGCTCAAAGGCATTTCTTACATAATGTTCAGAGAATTAACTGTAGAGCATTTATGGAAAAGATCTCTGAACAAATGTGGCATTCTAAGTTATTCTGACTTGTTTTCTCACATATTTCAAGAGTAATAATGGTTATCTTTGGTATCATTTTTTTTTTTTACATTCATGTGAAAATCTTCATATTTGTTCATCTATTTGGTAATAAGAATTTAACTCAGGACCTCAGAGCATTTTTAAGACGTGTTCTACCACTGAGCTACACTCATCCAGTCCTCACAGTTTTTAGTTTAAAATGGAGCCCTTTAGTTGTCTCCTAATTATGTTTATTCATCGTGATATTGTTTCAGGTAGGTGGATTTTAGCTCCTTTCTTTAACTGGAGACCTTTAAGATATTTATTAGAACTTTAGATTAAAATAGTAACCTCATTTACTTGCCTTTATTGGATTCATACATTTTATAGGGTAGAGAATATTTGGAAATCTCTCAGTTGTTTACAGCAGTACTTGAAATAGTTACTTTTGATTCAATTATAGCATATAGAGAATCCTTTCCAATATTTTTGTTACTTTCCTTATTACAATGTTGAAATTGGAATATTTAAATTTTTGCTATGGGGGTGGATAACTGGCTTGTGTTTGTATAACTTTGGGCTTATGTGTCACAAGATGTCAGGTTTTTTTGTGGCACATAAATATTCATCTTTAATAATGCTTCAAGAAGGTTTTACATGAAAAGAATAAAGAATTCAGTTTTACCTTTTCTGAGTTGGTTTGAAAAAATTGAAAATGTTAGGCTGTATTATGAGTTTCATAAATTACAACACTTCTAATAAAATTATGTTTTTTAGTTTCAGTACAAAACGGTTCGATTCATCAGAAAGATGCTGTAAATGATGATGATTTTGAGCCATACTTAAGTAGCCAGACAAATCAGGTAAGTTTTCTGCTACTTTCAGATTTTAGGAAGTTAAACTTTTTTTCAATATAAACTGATTTTTCTGTTAAATATTTTAATTGGATGAAGCTAACTGTAACATGAGTTAATTCATCTAATTTACCCACATGTAATAGATAATAGTTGTAGATGTATGGCATAAAAGTTCTCTTTTAGAGGTAGCAAAAACTAATTCTCTTTTTGTTAGTTAAAACTAGATTATGAAATGAAAAATATTTGAAGATGAGTATTGTTTTTATATAGTATGGGTAGATTATTTTGAATGTTGAAATAATCTTTTACTATTACTATCAACTTCATAACTAAAGCAAAAAGGCTTAATTAGCTAGAAATTTTTGTGAGGGGATTTTGTGTGAAATTTTTGGTTAATGATGGTTTATTTTTTATAATGAATTCTAATTTGAATTTTATTGAGAATTACTGAAAATTTTAATACAGTTTGGTATATTATGGCATAGAATTAAGGATTTTATAACACTTGTTTCTAAATTGTAAACATGGAGATTCATTTGCTCAATTATTAAGTAATAACTGATAGTTTTGTTGTTGTTGTTCTGTTTATTTTTGGTGTAGGGTGTGAACACAGGGACTTAACACATACTCAGCATATACCACTACTGAACCATAGTGCTTTTGAGGATTTGTGTAAATTAAATGTTTAAAAACAATAAAATAATGATATTAAGCTATCTGTGTCATTTCTGCCTGTTATTAAAAGTGTGTCACAAGACCAGGGATGTAGCTCATTGGCACCACGCCTTCTTGGAAAGTGCAAGATCCTGAGTTTGATCCCCAGTACTACCAAATGAATAAATAAATAAATAAAAGTATGTTACTGCTAGAAACATTTTAAAAGAAAAATTTCAGTATTAACCAGTTTCATTAGAGCATTCTGGAATGAAAATAGTTTTCTAGTTTTGCTTAAGAAAAATGGACTCCCAGATCTTAACATAAAGTTTTTAAAATTTTGACAGTTCAAGGAACCAAGAAAGTATTACTATAGAACTGAACAGTTAAGACAGTTTGAACAAAAAGTAATTTCCCTGTTTGTGGAAAGTAGAATTACTTTTACCATTTTGGAGAGTGGTTGTTAATGTTCTGTCTGATCTGCCTTTTGGTCATTAACCCAGTCTCTCCTGTCTGATGAGCAACATTCCTAGCATACATTGAAAGGGAATAAATAAATGAGAAAATAAAAATTGATGATAGAATCTGAAAATTTGTCTACTCTGAAAGAATGAAAAAATTGATTTCACATTTATCTAATCTTTTTTATCTCAACAAGTTTACTTTTCCACCTAAAGGTTGTGAGAAAATACATCACTGAAAAGTAGATCATTTGCTTTGAAATTTAGTGCAAGTTTTATGTATACTTTTGTCATATTTTCGCTCATGAATCTCAGTTAACATTCCTGATTTCCAGCTTTTTTGAGAAATTCTTTATGAAGCATAGTAAATGTTCCCCTAAAAAGGCCTCTATGATAACATAGATTTAGCAAGTTTATTGGGCTAACCAATTGAACTTTTTTCCAATTGATTTCACAGTTTATGTATCAAAATGTAAATGAAGTTCTAAGATGAGGCTATAGTATGAAATTCCCTAGTCTTAAATTCACATGCTATTTTTAAGGAATTTTAGTGGACTTTAAAAGATAGTTTGAGAATTGCTACCAGAAAGAATCATCTTACTTATTTTACTTGGTCATTACTACTTTACTTGATTGATTGTCATAAGAAGTTAGAAAGGTTTTTGTAAATCCAAAGAGGTACTTCAGGGGTTAGTTAAGGGTGTTGGGAGGGTTTCTAGTATAGTAACCAGAGCTGTGCTGTTTTATTCTTTTATATATTGGAATTCTGCATAAGTTTTCACTTCTAAAAGATAGTTTAAAAAATG